AGCCTTCTTTATGGTCCAGCTCTCACTTCCATACACCAATTTCTTATGTCTTATGTCTTATGTCTAAAAGTATGTCACAGAGCAATTTGAGCCAGTGCATTTTGATACACCGCTTTTTGCCAGTCATTGTGAGGAGAAAGTTGGAGGGGGTTGCAGTGGGGAAAAGGAAAAGGTAGATGAAGCTGAAATGCAGAGGAGATGATGGGGGAAGTGGACGGACCAATGCTATTCTGCAGGAGCAGCCAATACATCACAGGACATATACCCAAACAGAAACCCATTCCCAGTATATCAATCAATGGATGATTGGTCTGTCTGTCTTCTGTCTATAAATCAAGGGGCTGAATTGCCCCTTGAAGCAAGAGAGCAAATAAACCAGTACCATGGTGTAGCTGGCCATAATGATCCAAATAGGAGGAAATAAATTGTCACCACTAAAAGTTATTGGGACATTAGCCCCAATGTATATATAACACATGACTGAGAATCAGTAAAACAGAGGTATTGAAAGTATTGCATGAACTAGAGAACATTTCCTTCAGGTGATCAGGGTCTAAGTTACTTTTTAAAAACATGCAAAATATTTTTAAAGGATGAGATTCAACAGTATCTTTCTTCAGGCTTCCATGCACAAGAACAGAAAATAGCAGAACCTAACCCACCACTCTCAGAACATTGCTCTGCAATAGCAAGGAGAATCAGCTCCAGGTACAACCTGTAACCATCAAATCAGTGGCTAAGACAAAAGTTGAAATTTTGCAGATGTGTGGCTTATCTTATGTTCACAGAAATACCCTAGTCCTACTCAGGCATTTAGTAAACAAGAAAGAAGAAAATGGAAATGCCGTCTTTTTTTGGAAATGCTTGAACTGGGCTCATGAGTTAAACGTTAGTGATACATGTCATAGTTATATCCTGATTGGATTGCTGTAATACAGTATGCTCTGTGGGACTGCCTTTAGAAGTGTTTGGAAGTTCCAGTGGATCTAGAGTGCTGCAGCTAGGCTCTTGACTGAAGCTAGGCTCTTGATTACATGGAGAATCCCATTCCTAGTTACAGTAGCTTCAGTGTCTAACGCTCCACTTCCAGGCATTAGTTCAAAGTGCTGGTTTTGACCAATGAAGGCCTGAATTATTGAGGTTCAGGTGACTTGAAAGACTGTATCTCTCTGTATGAGCCTCCCAGGTTTTGAAGAACCTTGTAAGAGGCATTTCCTTTGGTCCTGCTGCCCTCCTAGGCATGCATGGTGACAGCATAAGAGAGGGTGAGGAGAGGAAGTTTCCACAGGATTTAGCTTAGCGATTTTCAATTTTTCCTGGATAAAAAGTAGGTTTTTGATGCATAATCCTTAATAAGTTCTCAAATGTGGAAAGCAACTATAGAGTTCTTGTTAGCCTTCCTAAAAGATATTATAAGAACTTGAAGTGCTTCATTTTCCTTAGATAAATGCAATAGCTAGTGTTACATTTATTAATACTGTGTTTCTCCGAAAATAAGACAGGGTCTAATTTTTTGCTCCAAAAACACATTAGGGCTTATTTTCAGGGGATGTTTTATTTTTTTTTTCAGGTACAACAATCTACATTTATTCAGTTACAGTCATGTCATCTTCTTCTGGTTGCTGCACAATGGTGGAAGGTGGGGTTTCACTTAACTGGGGCTTATTTTTGGGGTAGGGCTTATATTACAAGCATCCTGAAAAACCATATTAGGGCTTATTTTCAGGTTAGGTCTTATTTTCGGGGAAACAGCGTAATAATCATGTGCCATCGAGATTTTCCAGGTAAAGAACACTCAGAAGTGTTTTATCATTTACTTCTTCTGGAAGCACCCTGGGACTGGCTCTGCTTGCAGGAGACACAGTGGAGGATAAAATTCCTAACCTTTGGCTCTTCAGTTGAGCTGGCTCTGCTTGCAGGAGACACAATGGAGGATAAAATTCCCAACCTTTGGGTCTTCAGTCGATACCTAAACCACTGAGCTGTCCTACCAACGATACCTTTATTAGACCACTAAAAAAATGATCAAACAGCAAACTGTTTTGAGTAAAATCCATTTCTTCATTTTACGTGCCAATGTTTTTCTGTACTATCCAGAAAATATTGGAGCATAGTTTGAAGAAGTAGATTTTACCCACAAAAGCTTGCTGTCCATTTTTTTTGTAGTCTAGTAAATGTATTGCCTGCTTTTGCATTTGTGTAAGGAGCACACAGCCTTTTCCTAATTTTCCTTAGAGAAACAATCGTTGCCAAAAATCTTTGTTAGCATATTGTGGTGCATGGTGTTTTTTTAATTGTTAAAATGCAGTTACTTGTAACGTGTGATAAGAAAAGCAAATGCATTAGCCAGATAAGTGAGCTACTTTCTCTTTCCTTGCTGAAATATAACTGTCAGAGTCTTCCATTGTTGCTTTCACAGTTTTTAAAGGCACTGCAGAATGTGAATGTTTTTGAAATTTAGTGGAAGAAGTCTTTGTTCCATAGATTGCTGTGCAGTGTCTGAACAATGGAATACTGGTAGGCAACCATTATGCTACAAATATTGATCCTGTTTTGCTTCCTGAGAAGATGGCTGGGCTCTATATTACGAAGAGCACCAACACCTCATTTGCTAAGAAAAAAAGAGGGGGGAAAGGGGAAAAAATGGTTCTACTGCATCAGGCAATTTCAAACCATGCTTCTGCTTGTTCTTTAATGAGTGAAAACTGATCAATTTTCTGACTTCAAGCCTCAGCTGAGAGCAACTAGTGACAGTACCCCTCTTCACCCTCCCATACTCTCTCTCTCTTTCACATACATATTGGTCTTTTTAGAGTCGTAAATGCTTCAGCAGTGTAAGTGTGCAGCTTAGAGCATCAGATTTTTTGCTTTTCAAATATTTTAAGAGGCATTTAAATAAAGGGGGCTTTAATAAAAGGAGCTTCATAGAGCTCTGTTAGGCTGGGATCTCTGTCTCCTCAAGCCAAAAGCAGTGTGTTGCCCCTATGTAATTCCTGGTTTCTCTTGGGAAGTACAAGATTTCGGGTAGGTCTTTCATATTGTTACAGTGAACTTCTAAAGTTGTGTAACAGAGTCAAAAATGTATTCTCAGAATTAATCTGTACCACACAACCAATAATTCTGTTTTCCTAAGCCATACAGTATTTTGTTTTTCCTGCATATTCAAATTAAATGACCTTTTCCTTAATGCATGTACATTATTATTAATATATTATTTTATCGCTTTTTAATTTTAATTCAAAATCTCCATTATCTATAGAAGCATAATCTATTCTGAAATGCATAAAATAGAAATTTGTACAGATAATTCTGCAGTAAGAATAAGTAACAAGCTGCTACATTTTTGTTCAAGGCCCAATCTGGTGTGCCTAGTTATAAAGCTTCATATGGGTGTTTGATTGTTAGGCCTGTTGTTTTAGTAGTACAAATATATCATAAGCTCTAGTTGACGTTTCTTGCACTTTGATGCATTTTTACATAAAAGTTAACTTCTGGATGGATTGGTTTATTTTTTTAAAATTATTCAAATTGGCATATGGAAAACCAGATCGTTTCCCTATGTACAAACACATGAAGCAGCTACTAATCAAACTGTCATTTTAACTTTCTGTTATGTATCTTTATCAAAAATTTAAAATCTTTATCAAAACTCTGGAGAGAAACTGGATTTGCATTAGCTCAGAAATTAGCGTAGTATAGTTAAACATTAAACTAAATACACTTCTCCCTTGAATTGCATGGGTCCAAACAGCACATTTTTGGTTATACATGGATTTATTTTCAATAAATAAATAAATATTCCAATTAATAAATATGCAGTAAATACTGGTTTGAATGCAGTGGGCTCACTATGGGCCTCTTCTCTGGAATGTGGCTAGGTTCACCTAGCTAAGCCTGAAGGATCAGCAGTCTAGTTAACAATCACAGTGAGTGCTAACTACCAAACTGCAAGCTACTCGCAAACTATCAAACAGGATCCAGAGTAGTCATTGTAAATGCCCCTTTAAGGACAGTGGCAGTCCCTAGCACCATATTGAAAGCCCTTGTATGCAAACAAAGTAGGATTCCCTTTGCCCTGTCCCACCCTACCTCGTGGCTTCTTTCCATAAGTAACAAAGAGCAGCTACGTAGCATGACCAGAGGCTGGTATTACGGAGCTTGGATCAAACAGTCCCATAAGGGGTAAGTGTTTTTTTTGGGGGGGGGGGAGGTTGCTGCTTCTTTCCAAGTGGATTATATAATGTGAGAATCCTCTTTACATGTAAACCAAGATTCCCTCCTCCCTTTACTAATTTATTCTACTTGTTGCCTTTTACATGGCATGCATTTTAGACAGGTTTTCTTTCCTCAGACATGCACATGACAGACTTGGGTGGGAGGGCAAGAAAAAAGGGGGCATAAGAATTATACACAGATTTTGAGCTACTCAGGGATCTGGCATCACTAAACCCTATGATGTCGCTAACCCCAATGTCATTGAAGGGAGAAGTGTAATTTCATGGTGATGTAACTAGCACAGTACTTTCCCTTCTCTGTACGATTTGAAAACTCACAATAATAAAAATAACATTCTGTGAGAGAGTGCATATGATAAAAATGTAACCAATTAGAAAGTGGTATCCAAGAGACATTTAATTTTTTGCAGTTTTTGAAAATGTATCAAGGAATGAATAGTACGGTTACCTAGACCGTACAAAGCTCCTCTGTGTTACGTTGCTAAGTTCTGCTCCAGCTATATGATGTCATTTGTACCTACAAATATTTGTATATCTTGTTATTATGTATTTCTCAAAATGTAGAGGCTCTGCTTCAAAGATCTGGAACTCTAATGTACACCTGCTTTGCTGTTCACATTCTGAATATATCTGCCAGCTCCTAAAAACACTGGGTGTCAGTGTGTAGTTGTGCTCTCTAAAAGTAATGTTTGAAACACTGTCTTCTCAGCTTCATATTTTATCCACTTAATTCAAAATTTATGAATGTGTTTTGCTGCGTTGCAGGAAAAGCAGAGGTTCCTGACAGATGTCTTGCATGAAGTAATGCTGCTTGACGGTCTGGCTAGTTCTCACCCAGTTTCTCAAGAAGTGCAGCAGGCCACAGACATCGACAGAGTATTTGACTGGATTGCCTATAAAAAGGTGGGAGTAGAGAAAAAAAACACAATTCTAGGTGTTTTGATTTCTTTAATTTGTATTCCTTCAATGTCCTATTGTGTCCACAGCTTGGAAATACTGTAACATTGAAGTTTGATTCCCCCACAGCAAGGAAATCACTATATAGTAGATGATGTAATAGAATATATTGTAAAGACTGTCCACAATTCTCAGTTATGAAGAACCTCAAACCATAAAGCAGTCTCACATTGTTTAAACTCGTTATTGTGGCACGTTATGACTAACCACAGTTCTAAATTTCTGCACAAAAGAAATGTAGGAACTCATTGGTATATCAGATCAAGGGCCTTCTCACTATTGCTTTTAGCATTTGATATTTAAAAGAGTTACTTGAAAGAACACAAAAGGTTCAGATCTGTTTTTCCTTGTTAATACAACTTGTTAATATCAGTAATTAATATTTGCTGAATAGTTTTAAAGTATGTATGTATTTCTGCAAAATGGAAATGCAGTTATTGATCCTAATTTTTTTAAAAAGGAATCTTATCACAGGCACGTTGGGAAAAATGCAGCTAGAATATGGTTATTATTCTCATGCTTCAGAGCTGGTCCACTAGGACCAGAAATTCCCTGCCCCAGTCTGTGATGTTTGTAGAACTTCTTCCCCTTGCCTCTGGAAAACACAAGAGCTATCAAAAGTAGAAACAAAGAGCTAAATTGTTTGTGTTAAAGAAAATATGCCAACAGAATCAGTGAAATATGTACCAGAATTGTCTTAACATTCAGCAGTTAATTCATTGAGTTTACTCTGGTTGGGACTGCCACTTGTTTTTAGGCGAAAATATTGCTCTGGATTTATACCCAGACAAAATCGCCATTTGACGTTGTCTGACTCTTATAGGTGGGATTACTGCTACGTGATGGAGGTTGTCTGAGTGCCTTAAAATGTCTTACAACATTTTGTCTTAAAGTCAAACCTCTCTTCCTTCTTATCTACCTTTCATTTCATCCTTCATCTTCATTGTCTTTGTCCTGTCCCCAAAGCTCTGTGTGAAAGTTTGCCCATCCACTTTCATTTCCCTTACAGAAGCTGCTGTGTCAGTCAACATTCTGTGAATTGATCCATGCTCCTGGCACTCAAGCTACCATAAACTACCTTGATATCTTAGTAGGTCAATCAGTCGGATGTGTAAACTCCCAGATAGGCAATTTACACTAGTGAATGTTCAGACTCTTTACAAATCTTAAGATTTCTTTCCTTTAAAATAATACTTTTAATCCTAGGTTTCTGTTTCTAGTTCTGTTTTAAGTTTTAGTTAATTGTATTCATTTCTCAAGTCCCTGTAAGACACAGTTTGCCTATGTTTTTAAAAAATGTAAATAACCTGTCAAGAATGTTGGTGTTAACATTCCCATTAAATGTTCTGAATGAAATAGTCCATTATAGATATTGCAAGGTATTCTCTTGATTCTCCTTTCCTTTTTACACTTTGGAAAAAAAATATTAATATTCTTCTTGCTCAAATGTATTTGGGACAAAATGTATTTGTCAATTCTCCTTTATGCTCTCCATAGCTACATGCAAAAGCTCCCAGGGAGAGTAACATTGGTTCAGCAGCAGAGTGATACAAATACCCTAGAACTGGAAAATAGCATTTTCCATCTGAATATTTTTCAATTGTGTTTCAGTGAATCTTTTAGAAACAGCACCAGAAGCTAGTGTTTCTAAAACTAGCAGTTGAAAGTTCTTATAACTAATGTAAAAAATGGTCTTTAAGGAAAGTTATAATAAGTGTTATATACCGTGTTTCCCCCAAAATAAGACAGGGTCTTATATTAATTTTTGCTCCAAAAAACACATTGGGGCTTATTTTCAAGGGATGTTTTATTTTATTTTTTCCATTTACGCAATCTTCATTTATACAAATGCAGTCATGTCAATTTCCTCGGGTTGCTGCACAATGGTGGAGGGCAGGATTTCACTTAACTGGGGCTTATTTTTTGGGATAGGGCTTATATTATGAGCATCCTGAAAATTCATACTAGGGCTTATTTTCAGGTTAGGTCTTATTTTCAGGGAAACATGGTAATAAGTTAGGTTAATAACTTAAGTGTTTTAGTGAACAATGAAGAATGCTTGTAAGTAATGGCTTATTTAGAATGGTAGATAGTCTACAAGTGCACTTAGTGGAAAATGGAAAGCTATTTCATATGCTAACTGCAGCTTTAGGAGAGACATGTTTATTGCAAAAATATGTGGCAAGATGCCGGGATTTATTGTATCTTTTAGCCATATCCTTCTGCAGTACAGATATGATAAATAAATGGTAATATCTGCCTCACGTGTTAACATAGGGCAAGTTCTGCAACACATACTTGTTAAAAGTGTGGCCTGTGAAGAATCCTCAGGGATGCAGGAGCAGGTCTGTCAGTTACAAAATTTCACTTCCATTTCTTTGCTTCTTCCTGTCTTGGTACTAATTACTGCATAGTTCTCTCAAAATAATATCTTTCATTTTTTGTGATTCTATGCAGTTTGCATTGTTACATCTGTATACTTAGATCCTAACACTTACTCATGTGACATAGGACAGTCTGTTTTTGCTGATTTGTCCATTTCACTGAAGCTCTCTTTGTCAAAGTTATTCTGTTTCCAAAGGACTCCCCATCTAGCAGCTTTTCAAGGAACACATGAGGGACTGAAGTACATAAGGAACAGATTGGCAAAGTGTTTTCTGCAAATGTAAAAACTAGCTTTGGATACAAACCTGAAGTGCTTAATATGTCTTTAATGAAGTGTTAACGTCAATCTGCAGAGAACACACGCAAGGAAGCCAGGAGTAAAACACTAATTGGAGACTGCCCAAGTAGGATGAAGAGATATACTAATGACTGAACGTTGTTATATTACTTCCAAGGCAGGCTCATTTATCTAAATGTTAAAAAAAGAAATGCAGTAAGTAGGAATTGAAAATATGTACAGTGGTGCCTAGACTTACGAATGTCCCTACTTATGAAAATTTTGACTTACGAAAAGCTCTGGCAAATTTTTGTTTCAACTTGCGGCTGGAGCTTCAACTTACAGATGGAAAAAAATGTGGGGGAGGCGGGGAAGGTTTGAAATTTGAACTTTCAGTTAACCATTGGCCAGCGAAGAGGCTGCTTGTCTGCTACCTTGCTCATCCCAGTGGTTAGAGAGTGGATAGGGAGAGATTCTTCAGACTGCCTGGTACTGTACTGTACGGACTGTATTTTTTTTTTTTGGCTTTTTTAATTTTTTTTGTTTTGGATTTTTTACTTTTTTAAAACAGATAGACTGCCCGTTCTGGGTGAGTACACTGTATTTACTGTACCGTACAGGGTTTTTTGCAGCTTGGTGGGGGGTAGGACTAGGTGCGGGGGTTATGTTTCTGTGCTCTGATGGGTCTTGCAGTGTGGATCCAAAATGTTAAAAGTACAGTAGAAGACTAATATTAAATTAAAATTAAATATGAAAATTAGACTACAGTAATTTTAAAATGTAAAATTTATTTACAGTATTTATTTTTGCATTCTGTGGCTTCTAGGGTTTGTGTACTGTGACGTTGCTTAAGTTTTAAAATGTGTGTGTATAAAATGTGGCTCCAAAGTCTGTTTTAAACTCAGAAAATATTCTGTGAGGGGCTGTGGTGCTTGTTGATGCAGGCAGGCAGGCTTTAAAATGGAGTTTACTGTAGACTCAAGTCTCTCCCCCCCACCGTCTTCTCTCTCTCTCTGTCATCTCTTTTTTTGTGCTTAAAAGCACAAACCTTTGTCTTAGGGGTCTGTGTCCCCCAGTCATGACCTTCTTTCTTTCTTTCTTTCTTTCTTTCTTTCTTTCTTTCTTTCTTTCTTTCTTTCTTTCTTTCTTTCTTTCTTTCTTTCTTTCTTTCTTTCTTTCTTTCTTTCTTTCTTTCTTTCTTTCTTTCTTTCTTTCTTTCTTTCTTTCTTTCTTTCTTTCTTTCTTTCTTTCTTTCCCCATTGTTCCTTCCTTCCCTCCCTCCCTCCCTCCTTTCCTGCCCTTTTTTTAACCTAAAAGGTGCTTGGCTTGGTTTAAAAGGTGCTTGGTTTTAAAGGTGTTCTGTTTAAAAGGTGTTCCCTCCCTCCCTCCTTTCCTGCCCTTTTTAAAATCTAAGTTCATCTTAGGTTAAAAGAAGCAAAATTCTCCCCCTAGTGGTAGAGTACAGATTAACTGGCTTTGCATTAGTTCCTGTGGGAACTAATACTTCGACGTACGAAAGGCGCCTCGACATAAGAACCAAGGGGCAGTAAGTGTGTTTCAAATCATAACTGTGGTTCACAATTTGGAATCAGTATTGTGGGGTTTGTAGTAATCCACAGTTAAACCCCATGCATTACTTACAGGGCCTTTAAGCTTGTACTCTTAGCAACAATGAGTCTTTAGCTGTCAACATTAGAATTTTTTCATTTATGACTGCTTAATGCTTGTACAATGTAAAATTTGTTAAGGTCATAACTTTTGAACATTATATAAGGAAGTTTCCAAGTTCATATTGCTTGAAATGCATGTTTCTCTTCTTCTGAATATGGTCAATACATGCTTTGCTAGTTTGAGCCCAACATGGGCATTTTTATATACATTATTTTAATTTATTTTATTTTTGGCACGGGGAGATTATAATATAGCATGGAGCTAGTTTAGTGTCCAAAACCAGTCAATGAAGCAGGGGAAGTTGTGATGATAACCATTTAAGTGCTATTCTTATTCAGTATTGCACTTGAACTTCAGCAGTGGCCCATCTGTGGAAATAATTTCATCAGCCTTCCGCATTTGCCCGTCCTTGAAGATATTCTCATAAGGATGCTTAATGAAAATATATATTGTGCTTTTGTCCTTGTCAGTGGTGTCAGAATACATAAGAAAGATCCTAGTGGAGGGGCTTAAATGATACTGCTGAAATAAATGGGATCCCAGCAATGTTTTGTCTTCATGACTAAACAGGTTGTGCTTCATTGTTACGTCCACAGTGGGTGGGAGGATATTT